ATGGTTGTGTTAGAGCTAACTATCTGCTTTATTGGTATTTTGTATCTTTTGAGCAAATCGAACTTTTCTGGAATATGAGATCCTTTGTCTTCTTCTCCTCAATTTGGAAAATTTATTAGTCATTTGAAAGAGTTATGTGATCATCGAATATGGTGGCTCCCCGTACGTATATACTTCTATGGCCGGTAATTTCCTTTTGACAGAGTTCATAAGTATCAACACATAGCTAGTGTTTTGAGAGCTTGGATTGCTGAACAAGTGTCTGTTCTAAGATAGATTGAATCTCTATTCTCTTCTATCAACTGTTAAAAGATGACTAAATCCAGTAGTGCGTTTCATCCTGCAATTGGCTTTTCGTTCTAGTATCAGGCCATACAGTAGTAGCTTGGTCCGCAAAGAGTTTGTTGGGCATTCAAGGGCAAAGCTTACTTTTCTAAAGTGAAACCTCTTAGTTTAGTTGAACAGATTGTTAAAATGTGAGAACTGATTTGAGAACAAGAGAATTGAAATACAGGATTTCCCGCAATTTCTTCTACTAATTCCTGAGGATTTATGTTCTTATGCAGGTCTGCTACACATCTTAAAAGAGAATTTCACGAGCTTATGGCTGAATTCAAGGAATTATCATTCAGTAAGCTCTTTTTGTCAAATTCTCTTTTTTCCAAATGTGAATTTTTTGGGTGAAAAAGGAAAAAAAAAAAATTTGGACTTTCAAATGTGATTTTGTTTTGTTTATTCAAAAAATTCCAATTTTTTGTCCTGCCAGATGACTGTTTACAGCTGACTATTGGGACATATGTTCTTGCTTGTGTGGTTCAAAGGTGCAATCAAGAGCTCATCTCGTCTATACATTGTTGATCATTTTATTGAATCCTGATTTCATTATTTTGTTTAACTTTCTTTCCTAATTGCAGTACTTGGTGTGAAATCAAACAGTTTACGAAGTCAGTTTGGTCGAGGTTCTCTCTTTCTCCTGCTTTGTTTGAGTATAATATTAATTGGAAAATTTCTTGAGTGTCTCCATATTCATATTGAACATGCCTTTGTTATCGAGAAGATATTTCACTCGTGGGCCTTCACCCTATTAAGTGTGATTTTGTCATTTAATCACACTTAATTCACTTACATGTTGAAGCAATTTCCTTTTGAGTTAGGTTAGTATTAAATTTTTTTTGTTTTCTTTGTTTCATGTTTTGGAAACGGAGTAATATAATCTGGTGGATCTGATGTTATAAGCTCTTAGCTGTCAAATTCTTAGTTGTCTACTTTTTCTACTAGGAGAAGCCTTGGAGTCCTGATACTGAAAGGTTGACTTTCTGGTTAGTCAACACCCCCCCCCCCCCCCCCCACCCCAAGAATGAGAAGTGATTGGAACAGAGAAGAATTTGAGGAAAAATCCCTCCATGAGTGGTGTATTGTTTCTGGTAAAGGAATCTAACTAAATTAATTCGATAAAGTGGTGAAAAATTGCTGATACAGTTTCCCAATCTTATGTTGCACCTTTTCTGTGCGGATGTCAAATCATATCGAATGGGTTTGGATTGAGTTGAATTCAAACATATTCAGAACAATTGTCTTCTTCATGTCTTCATTCTTTGTTATAGCTCGGTTACTAAGAAAAGGAAGCTGGTGCTTGTCGTCTTGTGCCAAAATTTTCACTTAGATTCTGGAATTTTCTTATTGCTCCTATTTAAGTTATTTAACTCGTTAATTGTTTTATTAAAAGTATCTTCAACTCTTGCTAGGATCTATAGCTTGAAAAACTGCTCAACATTCATTCAATTTTCGCGTGCTTTTCTTGACTTGACAGGACTGGCATTGCAAACTTGAAGTTCAGCGACAAGAGGTTTGTTCTGTTCATTTCTCTGGTTACATATTGTGGCTTCTTATAGTTTGTGTGGGGTGAGTTTGTCTGACGGCATTTGACTGGTAATAGTGCTACTTAGATCCAAGACTATTTAACTCTTTTTCTGTTCCAAGTTACATCTGCACTGCCTGTGAAATCTAACTTTAGTTTACTGTATTTGGGCGGTAAAATGATCATCTTCTTTCATACTTGTGCTTCTGCAGTCTGCTGTTGTAGTTTAATACCTAGATGCTTGCTAAGCACATATGTTGTTGAAATCAAATCTGTTTTTTCCCACCCCAGGGATGGCGGTGGCACTGATGGAGGCAGTAGCAGGGACGATGGTGTTTGAACTCATTAACATAATCTGTTTTTTTTTTTTTTTTTCCTTTTTGGGGACAAAATGTCTACCTTCTGTGGGATGTTAGTGATGCAGGATGATGTGACGATGTCTGTTCTTAAATTTGGTGCTAAAATACCTGTGGAGTTTGATACTAATTACCTTATTGTTTGGTATGTAAAATATATATAATGTACGGGTATGCATCCCTTGGGCAGTTGGTAGATTATGTTACGTTGGATGAATGATAACTATATAAAATTTGAATTCGAAATTCAATTTTTGCACATATGTTAACGGTAATAGTGTATACACTGTTAATGTACATAAGATTTTCTCTATAAACAAAGGATTAATCTTTCTCACATATACTGTTAACATTGGACAAATGACAACTATGCAAAATTTGAATTTAAAATTCAATTTTTGCACACATGTTATAAATCAATCGGTGATTTCAATAATAAAAATAACAACTAGATTTTGGTATTAAATGTGATCTTTTTCATCTGAAATACTAGATGTTATTTGAACGGGTACAATTGAACTATTTTGCGGATTATAGTTAGAACTTAGAATTTTAATCTTCGATTTGTTTTTTGTGTGGGTAGTAATCACACGTATTGCTTTCCCATTGTCGAAAACAACATTTGAAATTACCATCATCCTTTAAATAATTAAGGCCATGTTAGGTATTACATCTTTTTTTCATGTCTTTAATATAGATAAAACTTTAGTTAAAGAAACTTATTCAAACACCCTAAAAATTTTACTACCCCAAAATACCGAAAGCACATGCCTTGTGTCCTTTCCTTAGCATATCACCTCCTCCGCCATTGCCGTCTCCCCCACTGCTGTTACTGCTGCCTGCTGGGCTACCACCACCTCCCCTTTCCTCTTCCATCCCCTTCTCCTCCATTCGTCCTCTCCTCCCTCCCCTTCTTTCCCTGCCACCTCCTCCTCCCTTCCCGCGCCACCTCTTTTTCCCCTCATTTCTTTAATGAACCTAATTCAATACTTTTTTTATGCGTGAACGGCATCTCGAGAACTACTGAGCAAGTCAATCAGTTACAGGCCAAACGAGTGGTTCCTCAGTGAATACCATCATTCAACGCCTCTGTCCAAGAAACTTCAAATTGCACGAACAATCAAATTTCAATCCATCCACACGCTATGGGGTAAACCAGTAAAGCAGTAAAAAGTTAAAAAGCCATAGGACCACTTTTGAGTCCCCAAAGCTCATTTGAGTTTCAAGAATCAAATGTAAAACAACAGAAAAATCAAAGCTTTAGAAACAACAAACAAAAAAAAAAAAGAAAAAAAAAGAGGGAGAGGTAGGAGGGGAGGGGGAATGGAGGAGAAGGGGGTGGCCGGGGGGAAGAGGTGATGGCGAAAGTGATGGGGAGAGTGGTGGCGGGCGGCGGCTTTAGAGCCGGGGTCGGTGATGTGTGGAGAGTGACGAAATATTACAACGATTATTCAAATGCTTCCTAAAATTTCACAGATGCTGAAAGTAAAAAAAGGTGAGGAGATGTTCTACGGAAGAAGAGTATAACTGGAGATTGTTTGCTTTGATTTTGGCATCCACGTTGCGTCGTATTAGAGGAGTATAACAATAAATGCACCCTGTCGGTTTTGGAGTAATTGTAGTTTTGGCTCAAATTATATGATGGTTTTTGGAAGTATCTGCCTCTCCCGCCTGCGAGTCCTTTTACTAGAGTTGGACATTGGCAGCATAAAGTGCACATTGAGCAATTTTCCACTCAAAATGTTGCTCCTCTACACCGCTTTCATCATCCTATTTTTCTTTTTTTATATGTTTCAAATTATAGTCTATCTTTCAATTGAAAAATAAACCTAATTTTTAATTTCTCTAAAACACTCCTATTTAATATACTCCGTTGTCAGTAAATATTGCCTACCTTATCTAATATAATCAACTTTTTCACCAATAATTATTTTGGTATATGTCTTGAATGACACAATATACCATTATTATTACTGCTTAATTAACGTATAAGTATAGTGATTAGTGATCCTTCTAATATTAATAGGCTAAATTTACTTGTCTAACAAAGTTAACTATTTTTTTTTACTTTTCTAAAATTGTGCGAGAAAAAAAAAATCAAGACCATCAAAGTGAGAAGGAGGAAATATAATCAAACCTCTCGGTAGATTAGATAAATCCATCACTCTCTCTTTCCCCAGCATAAAATCAATTGTAACAATGTTGCATCAAAAAACAAAAGCCAAAGTAGGTTATTTTTACATGTTAATTTACTCGAATAATTCTAGTGTGGGCATCTGCACAAGCTACTTGACGCTGTACGTTTTCTCAAATGGTTTCTAGGAACCGCAGAGGCCCCATAGCTCACCAGCGTTGGCTGTCTGAAGTGCTGATAAATCCAAAGACAAGAACCAAGAAAAGATAACGCTGCACTTTGGCCATCTAAAGTCTCGACAATAAGGGCAGAATGCCCTTTTCTCTGCTCTTTTTTTCGGTTAGAATTAAGCACTCTTTTCTCCTGCTCTTTCTTTCACACCACACCATAAAGTATTGTAATGCTGATAATTACTGTTTCATCCACCATCACTAACTCACTAAGCATCCTAAGGGCTGAGAACCAATATGATGATGTGCAAAGCTTATACAGGGGCCCTTTAGCCACTTGCTGCAGATTTAACTGGCCTAGAAACTAGCAAAATTAGATGCTACGTACTACCAAGGGGGTCAAGTGCCAAAAGTATTGCATAATTCGGCTTCAACATGAACTGTGCTTCAATCTTGGATCATATGCAAGGACAAGCTTCCAATAAGCCGTATCAATTGTGTGTCTGCGTTTGTGTGTTTATGTTTCTGTATATGTGTGTGTGTGGAGTGGGGCAGCTACAAGTGCATCATTTTCAAGGAAGCATTATCCTTGTTTTTATGTACAAACGTATAAGAAAGGTTCTCGACTGTAAAGCACCATGAAGTTAAACCAAAAGTTACCCCTTCAAGTCATGTTAAACCTGCATAATTTTGGTGATTAAAAAAAATAATCCTTACAATATATAAGCCATGATTCGAAGTCCTATTGGTATAGAAGTGATATCAGGAGGTCAAGTGCCATCCTTCTGGCAGACTCCCTCTTTGATCTGGCGCCTATCCATGATCCTGAAAAAACAAATATACCGTTATTCCATTACTTGATAGATAAAGTTTGAACATTTCGCAAACAACGAGCCACAGGGAGATATGTACATAACCAAAAACAGGTTCCTTACACCTCATTGCAGTATTGAACTTCCATAAATAGGTTTGCCTTGCTAAATAAACATCTTACAGGACTCTATTCCGATCAAAAAATGAACCTTGCTCGTAAATTTTTCACAAGGACCTCTTCCCTATAGCAAAAGTTCCTCAAGAAAAAGAAGATAGTCCATGAACTCAAGATAGAACATAAACAATGTAATGACACCTCATACAAGCAATAGAATGAGAAGCATAGCAAGGTATTACAGTAAATCTGATCATTGAAACCCAAATGCAACCTAATAATTCATGCCTAATAAAGAAAAATATCCTGTCTAAAGAACAAGTATTCAAACAATTTGCCAAGAGAAAAAAGTTGCAAGTGAATTTCTAGTTTCCATATCAAAGCTTAAACTAAGGCTCCCATTCATTCATCAATATCCTATCTGCGTTGACCTTGTATCCGTTCTGGCTAAGGTGCCTTTTACATGCATGTGCATATTTATGGTGGCAACCCCAGGATTTCAGCTAGACATCCACTAATCTGCTGTTACCAATACTGAAGGGCAGTTGTTATAGGGAAAAGGGAAGAGAGGGACTGACAGAGTCTATCCTTTGGAAAGGATAACTGAAAAAAGATCTCAAGATGGCACAACCAAAACACATATGCAAAGTTGGAATATACCAGGAATAAGTTGACCTCCAATTTAATATGCTCCAAATAAGTTGTCCCTTTGGACAAGTGGGGAAGAGTTACGTCCATGATTCTAAATTGCGTATCTACATTCCAGAACTACCACAATGATAAATCAAAAGAAATCAACATCTCGATTGCTTAAGCAAAAAATGCATGGCAAGATAGCAAACATGCTCTACGTCATAGACAAAATAAGAGTACAATTGGAAACAGTAATTTGAAGTTCCAACTATATGCATATATAGATTCCCAAGGATATGATTCTTCGATTCAAAGAGGACTAGAAAATGTTTATGCAGCTTGAAAATGGAAAATTACACTTGTTCATCTTAGGAGTTATATGCAAGTTGAAGAGGAAATACAAATCAGCACAAAGCAAATAACAGATATTCAAAGATGCTGACGGAAAAATAAAGAGATCAAATGAATTTTAAAGATGAAAGACACATACTCATCCTCCATAAAGATGTAGAAGAGGAACGCTGATCCAAAAAAGGCAATTATGCAACTCAGTCTTGTCTCATCTAGCATACAAGGCAAGAAAAGAAGTGAAGTACTACTAGTTAGTCACTGTAAAAACAGGCAATGAAAGAAACTTAAAACATATTACCACTTCAGCTGTAAGGAATTTTACCAATGGACTTCACCAGACTGCGAATACGCCATTTTTCCCGAGGTGGTGGAGGAGGAGGCAGCCTACAGAAAAAAAGGCATGAAAGCGGGTTACCACTACACACATACACAAGGCCAACAAAATGGCCGCCTGGGGCTGTAGTATGTTCCAAGGGTTGGGTGACAAGTCAAAATAGCAGATGCAATAGTTGATCATCCCACTCTTCAGTAGAAAAAACGAAAAGAAATAACAATAATTCAACAAACTAAACGAAGGGGCTTGGCAGAATTGTACTGGGTGCAAAAATTGCGGGCTGTGGCCGGAGCCAGTGCTGTTCTTCCTCTCACAGACGAAACTCCCAAATCAGAAGACAGATGCCCGAAAGTAAAGAGTCTGCCAATATTACGCCTGCAAAATTAAAAAAGAAAATAATCAGGAAAAAAAAAAAAAAAGAAACAGCAGACACATACTACTGCGTACTAGTACAAAGCTTTCATGATTGCCTATAGAAAACGAATCAAAAAGAACAAACCGAGGGCGAACTAGAGTTTAAATACACTTTCAGAACCAAGAAACGGTAAATAGCCTACCCCAGCAGCTGCAGCTTTGCCATTGAACCCTAATTTCCTTACCAGGTCTAAAAACCCAAGGCTTCCTATAGGTGCCTGAAAATTTTCATGAAACAAAGAGCGATTAGGGTGAGGCAAACAAGAGAAAATAGAAACGAGTTCTTTCATAGATAAGCATAGCATACTGGTGGTAGAAGTTGGTTCAGGGAGGACCGGGAGATTGCACAAATCAGTTGATGCGTCCAGGTGTATTCACTCAATAAAATGGGACAGAAAATAGACTGACGAGTTGAAGGACTAAAAACCTGCTAGCAATTATTTTGAGGTTTTTTTTTTTTTTTTAAAAAAGGAGGTTATTTTTATTTTCTTATTTTACCCCCCTTCTCTCATATCACTGGCCAATTGTTTTCCTCTGATGCTAAAATACTTGTCTAAATATTTTTAATATTTTTTAACTTAATTTTTTAGTTGGTTTAATTATTAAATTCATTCTTAATAATTCATTATAAACTCTTTGTTATTACAAAATATGTGTAGCTTGTATCGTAAAGTGTATTAATCTAGTAATTTAGCAATTTAAGTACCTACAAACCAATTACAGTTCACAATTACACAACAATTTGTAGCAAAAATAACATATTATATATCACATCAGAAAGCAAAGTTATGCAATTTGTTATTGATACTATTAATAATTGATTAATCAATATCTCTATTTTATTCATATATATTTGAATAGTTCAATTTCTTAAATGGCATTGACTTCACAATTTGGTAAAAAAAAAAATCTTCTATACTATAGAATTCTTTTATAAAATATTGACACACAAAATTAAGAAATAAACAAATTTTGAACAATCCAGTATACTGATTTAAACAATATTGAAAATTATATTCTAGGTATATAAACAATAAAAGCATGGGAGATAAAAAATAAAAGGAAGAAACTAAAAAGAAAATAATAGGGGAAAAGGAAAAACAACAATGTTTAATATAGAAAGGGTAGATTTATCCAACTATATCGTGAAAGGAGAAAAGTTCCTATAAAAATACTTTTAGGGTAATCTACAACTAGGCATATAGTTTATTGGGGTTTTTTTTTTTTGTACATTTAATCCTTATTTTGAAGGTTTATCAAGCCCAGCATAAAATTAATTAGGAAAAGTATAGAAATATAATAGAAAGTAATAATTATTAATGTATATATTAATTTAGATATAATAATTTAAGTATAATTTAGATATATTAATTAGTGCCAATGACACTAATAGGTATAAAATAAACTTTATTTTATCAAAAACAATTTAGGAAAGAAATGAATTCTGGTAGTTTCAGAGAAGTTGCAATTGCAAAAAGTTACAAACATATATCAAAATCTCAAATTATTTCTCTTTATTGCCTTATATTTTATTAAATTGTGAGGAAATATTTTTATTTTCATCACAAACGATTAAAAGAAAAGAATTTTGTTAGTATTTGATAACTTTTTTTAAAATGCCTCTTACCCCTCCCCATACCATTTCCTCCCCTCCCCATACCGTTACTAAAATGCTTGATGCAACAGCTCTCATTCTAGAAAAGTTCTCGTTTCTTTCCTCAAATTAGTTTGTTTAACCGATTATTATCGATTTGTTTGAATTTAGATTATCAAAAAGTTAGAGACACCGTGACACCTGTGCAAAATAGGAACAAAGGGACTAGAGACTAATTTGAAACAGAAGATTTGAAGCGTCTTCTCCCACTATCTCGCATTTCCCAGCCCATCCCGCAACTTTTATCACCTTCTTTCTCCATTCTCATTTCTCCTTGATTTGGGATCAACTCAACGTTGAATCAATCTAAGTTCCATGTTTCAATACGACTTTAGCTTGTTTAAAACGTGGAACGAATTAGATTCGACTAAAGTTGTTAAAATAACCCATTACTCGAAGGCAAAGGTAATTCACCTGTGATTTGTACTAAAACAGCCAATTTTATTTTTAAACTTTTTTACAAGTGCCTATTTAGCCCCTAATTTTTATTGTTAATTAATTTGATACACCAACTTATTGCTCTCTTGTTTTTGGGGTTTCTTTTCGCGGAGAGAAATTCAAAGCCATGGCAACGCAGCTCGGGTATGCTCTCTCTTTCGTATCTTTTCTCCTCTGATTCACAATCCACTCACTTTTTATTTTTGTTTTTTGCCCTCAGGCGCAATTTTAGTAAATGTCTGACCGCTAAGCATTTCTCTGCAATGGGAGGAACGGCCATGGCTCCACCGCCCGCCCACCGCTTTTTTTCCTCCGAGTATCTTTCTGCTAAAACCCATGCTATACCATACTAATTTCTTTTGCCAATTTTCTGTGTCCATGCATTTAATTAGCCCGGTTTCCGTTAATTTATGTGTTTTATGATTCTGAGAAAATAATTTGTATTTTTTCTGGATCAGACTACTATTACTGGAGGATTAAAATCTTGGGCCACCTCCACCTGATATTGTAGCAAATATAACTGTAAACCTTTGCTGATTAGTGGCAACCTGTTCCTTTAATGTCCCCTCCTTCTAAGTTTTATGAGTCATTCTGGTAACAGATTAAGTTCCCATGGATAATAGGTGTCTTTCCCATTTTCTTGCTTTCTTGACTCTAATTGCGGCTTGTTTCTCATCCTCATGAGTGTTTGGAGAAAGAGCAAGAGCAGGCATGCATTATTTTATACTTGTAAATTACTTAGTGAAAAGGGTCTAACATTGCGAAGAAGATGTCTGCTTTTCCTTTTTTTTTTTGTTTTTCAACCCTCGCAGTTTCTCCTCTCTTTTTTTTTTTTTCTGTATGTTGGTTTCTCTTTTTCCCGACAGTCTGCTGCTTGGGCTTTGGCCTCTGATTTCAAGCATGTTACCTATTAGCTGGGGCATGACCTGGATTTGTGTTTGGTGCAGAGCGGCTACAAATTCAAAGAAAGGGCGTGTTCGAGCTCTAGTTGATTTCATGGGTAAATTTTTGTTGTGATCACTAATATAGTTCTTGTGCCAGATGGTTTCCTATTGCTAATAGCAATTTGACTTTTATTTGCTGCCATTTTAGAGCTTCCCTATAAGTTAGGCTTATCGGCATTTTCCGGAGCAGTTTGTGGTTCTCTGGCCGCATTCATCCATCTAGATGGGTATGTTTAGTATGTTATTCAAAGTTCGAATCTAAGTTGCTTCTGCTTTTTTGCACCTCTTGTCCATGAGACAGGCTTCAAAGTCAGTGTCTTGGGGTTTCTAATGTTTTCAACATTTTCGATTGCATAGAAGAATCAATACGTTTTGAGACTCTCTCTCTCTCTCTCTCGCTCTCTCTCTGATTTTGACATTCTTAATATGTTTAGGCTGATATATGACCCTTAGGGCATGGAGAAAATCCTGATGCATATTTGTACTCCTACTGATTTGGACTATCCAAAAATATTTTTGCCTTTGGATTTCCTGTTTATGGTATGGTATGTAACAGTTCTAAGGATGAAAGCATTGTGAACTAGTGATTTTCAAACTCCCTACTGTGCAAGCTGTTACTGTTACCTTATTCCTGTCGAAATAAAATTGAGTTAGATGTCCCAACTCAACATAGACGTTTCTTGAATACGTGGTTTCTTTATTACTTTGAAGTGCCCAAATTGGTTTGTTTCATCCTTATCGTTGATGTTGAGCCAGCATCAAGTCATAGTAGCATCAGTACCCTTTAGCTTAAGCATACTGGAATGATTTTGAACCCAATTTTCTGCAATTAAAATCTACTGTGGTTTAAGCATCTTGGTTAATGCTTTGATCAAGGATAAAAGTACATGTTTAACATGATTAGGATGTTCTATATGAGATAGTATGTTTTTTCCTGAACACCAGCCCTCTTTTATTTTTAAATTATCTTTTTGTATTTTTGGGACTTCCCTTGGTCAGTCCTATTGTTATGTGGCTTGAAGATAAAAAGATTTATTCAGTAACTGATGCCGACATGAAGCCAGAATAGATTGATTTCCTACTTTTGGTGCTTTATGTTTAACTAGTTGGATACCGCAATGTTGTTCTTGAGTTCATCCACTGCCTTCTTGTCTTGAAAATGTTTTGGCAATGCAGCATTGTTGCGAAAAAGTTGCGAATGTACTGAACTTTTTTTTTTGTAGGGACGAAGTTATTTAGGGAGGATGCATGATGTCCGAGATAGCAGCGGAACTGATGGTAGCAATGTTGAATGTCGTCAGAAGTCCCTCAGGGTCTTTTTATCCTTATTCAATTTAGATTATTAGGCTTCTTGTAAGTATTAAAACCCGGAATGGTGAAAGCTCAGGTCCTGCAAGGAGCGACTCTGTTAGCTCTCTGTTGATTGGGGGATGCCAATGCGCTATTTCTGTAACGTTAGCTATAAAGGTCGACTCTGTTGAGCTCTTTGTTGATGACTCTGTAACTCTTTGAGCCCATCTTTAAATCAAATTTTTTAGCTTTCTTAGCAAATAATTAAAACTGATCGCTCAACTACCTGAATTACTGTTGCTATAAAAAGGGGGAAAAATAAGGGAAAAAGGGGAAATAGAAATATGTATATTATGGAGATTCCGTTGAAGAGCAGAAGATTTTATTTACATCTGCTGTTTCTTCAATGCTACACCATTTGTCTTATATCAGCTCTCAATCAGTCAACTTAATTTTTAAAAACAACTGTGAATTTCAGGTTACATTATCTGTTTCCTTTAGATGAAGCTGGAAAAGAGTGCATATTTCGGATTTGGGCGCAAACCGTTAGGTCAATCGATCGTTTGTGTCGATTTTTGTCTAATTTCATAAGATGTAGTTCACTTTAACGGAGAGAAATTATAAAACAAAATTTTGTGAGTCTTACACGTAATAAATAACATGCACGCAGAAGAATGAACTTCAACTCAAAAGTTGACTTCGTGAACCGGCAAAGTCTTGTTGATTTTGATAAACAAGTTCAGCTTCGAAATGGATTGTTTTACAACGATTGAATCAAATAATATGAATCAAATAATGTGGTTGGTTAAATGGACTTGCCCCGATGGATAATCATCAAACTTGACATGTGGTTGTGAGCTTCATATCATTGGCTGTGGCTGGAAATAAAGAAAGAGGAATAAAATTATAAGGTTAACTCGTCCACTTGAAACACTATTCAAATCATATGTATCAGATAACAGGCGTAGTTTGTCAACAGACCTGTTCCCGAGGGATAATGATCCAACTGGAAATATGTTTGTGAGCTTTTACATTATTGGCTGTGGCTGGAAAAAAGATGGAGCAAAAAACTACAGGTAAATAGTTGACGCTATTATTTTACTGCAACTGGGAGCAAAGAAATGGTAATACCAAGTCCAACAAATAATTATGGAAACTTGCCCGAAGCCAAGGCAAAAGTCGTTTTTTTCCGAGTCTGAGCTCTGCTGCCAAGTCTCAAAAAGGTCGAGCTTAGCAATTTCATCCCAAAACTATACGCTTGCTTCCTAGATGGAAATGGAGAGCCCACGCCCGCGCCCAAACATGGTGGTTCTTCTAAAGGTGGCTGGTTCAGATTCCGGTATATATGACGAAAATCAAGAAACTCCGACTGACACAAGAAATGTGCTGCTCATTGTAGCAGCATTAATAGCAGCTGTGACCTTTCAAGCTGGGGTGAATCCACCAGGAGGCGTTTGGCAAGATGATGCAGGTGGGCATAGGGCAGGGAGGGCTATATATGCAGATCAGAAACAAGCATTTTACGTTTTCTTGATAGCAAATACCTTTGCACTTTCCACAGCAATTCCCTTTCCATCTTGAGCTATGGTTTGCCACTCTGTCAATGTTTGCTACTTATGCCTCGGCAATTTTTGCAATTGCTCCCGATGAATCTGTCAGGTTTCGTTATGTGTTATCTGCTGCGGCTGTGCCTTTCGGGATTCAAGTGCTGAAGAAGCTTTATAAGCGTTATTTGTCATCAAACTAAGACCTGGGAACACATTACATGAAACATTTGTGTGCGTCTGTGGGAGCATGAAATCTTTTCCAGTCCTTTTGGGATTGTTTGTTGAGAATTGCTGATTATTTGGAACCTTTTATACCTTAAAGAGGTTAGATGTCATGTTAACTTTGCAAATGTTGCTTTGATTCATTGTTTAAAAGAAATGTAAACTTGCAATGCAATCTGTTGGGATTTTCAACTCCTTGTCATTTTACTGATGCTTTGCAATCACCTCATTAAAAATGTTTATGTGCACATATCAGTTGAATTGATTTAATAAATTTATAGGTCTCTTTATCAAAACGGAAAAAAAAAAATTTTACTGCATTCTCATTAGTTAACGAATTAGAAAAAGGTCAATTGAAATCTGCAAGTTCCAAATTTCAAAAGGAAAAAAAAAAAAAAAAAAATGGGGCCGTAAGGCACAATAAGGACATGGTTTGGGCCATGATAGATAGTTGTGTTCTGACGGTCGATATCGATGACTGGACTGGGTAGGCCCTTTAGAGTAAATACGAACCGATGGACTACCGAATCATCATGAATGATGGTATTTGCAGAATTGCATTATGAACCAAGTGGTGCGGCTGGTGCCGAAGCCTTAAAATGTTTGTTGAGGATCCACACACCATGCCTAATTGGAGCAAGGCTCAAACGCTACAAATATGTCACGAACTCAAGGTTGTTTCTGGAATTGTGTGATTGATCTAGGATGAATTTGGTAGAAATTGGAGAAATTGGAGAAGGAGCAAGGAATTGAAGGTCGAGAGAGAGAGAGAGAGAGAAGAAGATTCAGAAGAGAGGAAGTGGAAGAAATGACCACATCTAATCTGTTATCCTCATTCATGTGGGCCCCGCCTAATATAACCAATTCTAACAGCTTGTGTCAGACGATTACAACTGAATTACCTAACTAATGGCTCATTACATGAAACGACATCGTTTACTAGTACTTAAGCAAGACCAAAACAGCATCATTTGTACAATCCTATTGAATTAACAGACTAATGCTCAAATTGAGCCTTTATTATGCTGCAGTCCTTATACTCAGCAGCCTGACAATCCCTTCCCCTTAACAAAAGACTTGTCCTCAAGTCTGAAATGTAGGAAATTGTCGTTCAATGAAAGACTTGTCCTCCCAAGAAGCTTCCTCAGGCTCTAGTTGATTCCACTTAATCAGGAACTGAATAACAGGTTGTCCATTTCTCAAGATGACTCTTCTGCGCATGACTGACTCTGGTTGCAATGGACATTGGTCCTGGGCGTCAAATTCTGGTAGCTTAGTAGAACTACCTTGCACCAGTCCCAGTTTCTTCTTAAGTAGTGAAACATGGAACACAGGATGTATTCTAGTGTCTGCTGGCAACTTCAGTTTATAAGCCACTGAACCGACTTTCTCCTCTATCTGGAAGGGTCCATAATATTTGGCAGACAGTTTGAGGCACTTCCTTACTGCCACTGTTTGTTGCCTATATGGTTGAAGTTTCAGAAAAACCCAATCCCCTACTGAAAACTCCCTCTCACTCCTGTGTTGATCAGCAAAATATTTCATCCTTTGCTGAGCCTTGGCCAGGTTGTCTCTGATGCAGTTGGATATCCTGTTTCTTTCCTGTAGTAAGTTGGAGGCTGCAGGGATGACAGAGTCCAGGTAAGGTCCTAATGGTAGAGGCACAGGCTTATATCCAAACAATGCTTCAAATGGTGTCATTTGGAGACTGGAGTGGTAGGTAGAATTGTACCACCATTCTGCCATAGATAGCCATTTGCTCCACTGGGATGGCATTTCTCCTGTCATGCATCTCAGATAGTTCTCCACGCACTGGTTGAGCCTTTCACTCTGGCCATCAGACTGGGGGTGGTAAGAGGATGTATAGTGTAGATCTGTCCCTATTACCTTGAATAGTTCCTTCCAGAATCCACTAGTGAAGACCTTGTCTCTGTCAGTGATGATGGATTCAGGTAATCCATGCATTCGATATATGTTGTCCAGGAAGACTATTGCAACCTCCTTGGCAGTGAAGGGATGAGAGAGCCTGATAAAGTGGCCAAACTTAGTAAATCTAACGATCACTACTACTATGGTATCATAACCTTGTGACTTGGGTAGTTTCTCAATAAAATCCATGGCAATATGGGTCCATGCCTGTGTAGGAACTGGAATTGGTTGCAACAGACCAGGGTAAAGCACATTCTCAGATTTGTTTCTTTGGCATGTATCACAGTTTCGTATGAAAGTTACTACCTCCTGCTTCATCCCTGGCCAGTGGAACAATGATCTAACTTTCTGCCAGCAGCTGTTCTGTCCAGAATGTCCCCCTATTGCTGAAGCATGAAGTACTTGGATGATCTGGTTTCTGATGTTATTGGCACTCCCCACATACAGTTTCCCTTGATACCTTAGCATTCCATCCACCATAGTATAATCTGTGTGAGCATTAGGATCTAGTATTAGCTGAGCCATAATGTTCTGGCAGTGATCATCCCCTTCATAGCTTTTCTGCAATTCTTCTATCCAGACAGGTCTTACTGCAGTAATAGCCAAGCATGAGTGTAAGGGAGAGTCCGCAACAGCTTCCTGCCTCCTAGATAGGGCATCTGCAACCAGATTTTCAGTCCCTCTTTTGTATTGTATCTCATAGTCCAGGCCCATTAATTTTGTCATCCACTTATACTGGAGAGCAGTATTCAGTTTTTGATCCAGTAAATATTTCAAGGATTGGTGATCTGTCCTGATAATGAAGTGACTCCCAACCAAATAATGTCTCCATTTCGTTACTGTCATTACTAGTGCAAGAAGTTCCTTTTCATAGACTGATAACCCCAGGTTCTTGGTTGACAGTGCTCTGCTCAAAAAAGCAATGGGGTACCCTTCCTGCATCAAGACTGCCCCAATACCACCCCCACTGGCATCTGTTTCTAACACAAATGCCTTTTTAAAATCTGGTAAACTAAGGACTGGAGCTGAACACATCAACCTTTTCAAGTGTTCAAATGCTGTCTGCGCCTGTGGACACCATTTGAAGCTGTCCTTCCTGAGTAATTCAGTCAAGGGCTTGCACACCAATCCATAATGTTGGATAAATCTTCTGTAGTAGCCAGTTAGGCCCAGGAACCCCCTCAACTCCTTGACAGTTTGGGGTACAGGCCATTGTAATATACTACTGACTTTGGAGTCATCCATCTGGACTCCTTTATCAGTGATGGTGTGTCCTAGATATCTATTCTTTTCTGAGCAAATTCACATTTAGATTTCTTCACATACAGTTGGTTATTTTTCAATAGATCTAGAACAATTCTCAGGTGATGGAGGTGATCCTCTAGTGTGGGGCTATATATCAGTATGTCATCAAAAAAAACTAGGACAAACTTTCTCAGATAAGGCTGGAATACCTGGTTCATCAATGCTTGGAATGTTGCAGGGGCATTTGTGAGGCCAAATGGCATAACCAAGAACTCAAAATGTCCACAATGCGTCTGGAAAGCTGTCTTGTAGGTGTCTTGAGCTTTGACTTTGATCTGATGATAACCTGCAGTCAAATCCAGCTTAGTTTTGAACACAGCTCCTGCCAGTTCGTCCAGTAATTCATCCACATTGGGTATTGGAAATCTGTCTTTGATAGTGAGGTCATTCAGCTTCCTATAGTCCACACAGAACCTCCAAGTTCCTTCTTTCTTTTTGACCAGTAACACAGGGGAGGCAAAAGGACTGTTACTGTGTTTTACAATACCTGTCTGCAGCATTTCAGTCACCTGCCTCTCTATTTCCTCCTTGTGGTAGTGAGGATATCTGTAAGGTTTGAGTTTGAATGGTTGAGCGTCTGGTTTAAGGGGTATCTCATGGTCCACACTTCTGCTAGGGGGTAATGAACTGGGGGTCTGGAATATGTCTTCATACTCCTGCAGTAGTTCCTGTACTTTCTGTGGGGTGGACTCCAGTCTGCTTCCCTCCTGCTGTTGGGAAGACATGGCCATGCACATCTGCTTTTTGTATTCAATGAATGTCCTCAAATCTTTGCCCCTGATCAGGTCCATGTCACAATTGTCTGCTTGCCCATGTAGGTGAATCTCCCCTCCTGCATGATGCAGTGATATCCTGAGCTGCTGGAAATCAAAGGTGATGGGACTGAAGTGTGTCATCCAGTCCACGCCTAGTATTATATCCCACCCTCCTAGTTCCATTGCCTTGAGGTCGAATTTGAATTTGTGCTGGTTAATGCTCCACTGTACCCCAGGACAAATAGCATTGCTGGTGACAGTAGTTTCATTTCCCATGATAACTGAGAAAGGCTGATCCACCCACTTGTACTTGACATCCATTCCAATAACCAGTTCACTGCTGATATAGCTGTCAGAGCTTCCAGTATCTACTAAGATGAGCACCTCTTCTCCATCTAAGATTCCTGTGAGTGTGATTGTCTTCCTCTTTAAGGCTTCAGATAATGCATGCAAAGACATTTCCATGGATTGACCAGGATTCCCAGTATGTTCATCCTGCTCTCCCAAGGCATCCTCAAATGCAGTTTCCTCTTCTTCTTCTAACACCATACAGTGTGTATGGCCAACCCTGCACTGATGGCCAACTCCATACTTCTCTCCACATTTGAAACACAGTCCATTGTTCCTCCTATACTGCATTTCCTGTGCAGAGAGTCTCCTAGGATCCTTAGTGCCTTCTTGCCGATTGGCTAATTTAGGATGATTGGGGCTGCTGTGGTTTGGAATCCTATACGAGTTAATCCCAAATGCTGTACCGGTGTTTCTTGACAATCCAAGCCTGTTTTCTCCTAGTGGTTTGACATTCTCCTTAGAACTCTTATTCTGCAGTTTTACTGCATACTCTTGCCACTGAGACAGTTCAAATGCTTCAGCTAGAGTAGCAGGTTTCAACATCTTGATCATAGGTTTGATCTCTTCCTTTAGTCCACTTATGAAACTAGAAATGAAATAAGTCTCATCCAGACTTCGATTTCTTATCATCATCAAGGCCTTTAATTCCTCAAATTTCTCCTGATATTCTTCAACATTGCCTATCTGCTGTAGTTTATTAAATTCTTCCACTATATCTAGACAGGTCCTATCATTAAACCTGCAGCATAGCAGATTCGCAAATTCTTCCCAACTCATCTTAGGTTTCGCAATTTTTACTCCCTGGAACCATTTATCAGCCCTGCCTTCCAAATACATTTCAATAACATCTACTTTATGTTCTTCTGGAACTTGATAGTTCAAAAAATATTTGTTGCATTTACGCAACCATTCTCTAGGATTGTCTCCAGCAAACATTTGTAAATCAATCTTAGGAGGATTTGGAATGTAAAACTTACTCCCATCCTTCCTGAAGGATCTCTGAGCCTCGCCGTCTGTGGTTAATCTCTGATGAGCTGGTGGAGTTGGTAGGAGTGGCAGCTGGTCGATCATTCTGCTACTCCCCTCGTTTGCTTGTTCCCTGCCAGAGTTCAGCTTCAGTAGCAGATCATTGAATTTCTGCTCAAACATCTGAGTGAAGTTCTGCTCCAATCCTGATAACAGGCCTTCCATCCGCCTGTTGTTCTCTTCAAGCTCCACCTTCAAGTCTTTCCTGATTTGCTGGTGTTCAGATTTGGAAGTGTGTAGGGATTCAATCACTTCCTGCAGCTTGATTTCTTGTTTCCTGACTTGCTCTTCGATGGTGCGAAATCTTGTGCTCTCTGCCATGATTGTGTTGCAAATTCCAAGGATCTACTGCTCTGATGCCACTTTGTCACGAACTCAAGGTTGTTTCTGGAATTGTGTGATTGATCTAGGATGAATTTGGTAGAAATTGGAGAAATTGGAGAAGGAGCAAGGAATTGAAGGTCGAGAGAGAGAGAGAGAGAAGAAGATTCAGAAGAGAGGAAGTGGAAGAAATGACCTCATCTAATCTGTTATCCTCATTCATGTGGGCCCCGCCTAATATAACCAATTCTAACAGCTTGTGTCAGACGATTACAACTGAATTACCTAACTAATGGCTCATTACATGAAACGACATCGTTTACTAGTACTTAAGCAAGACCAAAACAGCATCGTTTGTACAATCCTATTGAATTAACAGACTAATGCTCAAATTGAGCCTTTATTATGCTGCAGTCCTTATACTCAGCAGCCTGACACCATGCCTAATTGGAGCAAGGCTCAAACGCTACAAATATAGCTGTATATGCAGGTGCAAAAGGCTCTAAGATCAATTGTTAACCTCATGTTACGAATACAAGTTGCCGGTAAAAGGAGAGTTGTTAAACGAACCGGACTGTTCGTTAACTCAACCCATTTAAGCTCGCTTGTATTCGGTAATGGCTTGTTCAAAATTTTATACGAATCGAATTCGAACAAATATTTTGGCTTAACAATTAATCAAAAGAACATGAGTTCGTTCGCAAATTTAAACAATCGTTCGGGAACGTGGGCCTAATTATCATTTCTGGTTAATATTGTATTTCTAATACCTAATTCCATGCTTAATTGTTTGTGAACATGGGTCCAATTATTCGCGAACGGTTCGTTTGTATTAAACGAGTCGAATTTGAATTAGGATTTTGCTTGATGAGTTAAACACAAACACAAATTTGGAGATCAAACGAACACGAGTCTTGTTCGAGTAGCACAACGAACAAAGTTCAAATATGAGATATTCGATTTAATTTGACTCATTTACAGCACTAGGTAAAAGTCTTCACTATAAATCATCTTGTTGCTGTCCTTGGTTTGATATACTCCTATTTGGCGCTGCCTTTTAACAAGTGGTAAATGAGAGGAGACTGAGTGTTGAGGCTTGAGAAGCAGAGCAATGGGTGAAAGATTTCAGGAGGAAGAATGTCACTAAAAATGTTGAAAAGAATTGAATGAGAATTATCATTTTCTTGATAGACCCATTGGATTTTCAAGTAAATCCCAACTATATCGATACTCTTTAGATCCAATCCCACATTTTTCATACCCGTTCCCACCCTGCTTTAGGCGGTAAGCCCACTTGGACTTGGGAGTTTTTGCCACAACTGGCCAATTTATAGAATATAAGAAATAACCCAAAAGCATAGAATCTACGCCAAAATAAAGAGAGGGCGACAACTACGGACCAAACTTGGGCTTGGAAATTGAATCTATCCCGAACAATGGCTATGGTCGGCATATTAGATAATAGTACATTTAAATGGGAGGACTCGAGTTCGAATCTCTCACTTACGCTCCCTTTCTTGAATCACTCAACTCATTCATTTTCCTCAGTTTCCTCAACATCAAATGTTTATTTATACTCATTTCATTTGCAACTTTAAAATTTTTATAATTATGACCTCGAATCCTAAGTTTTATTCTAGACACTTTTATCTTGTAAAATTACAAAAAGTTATTCTAAAGGACATTTCAAAGAGTTGTTTGTGGAGCTACAAATTAACAAAAGTCTTATTCTAGTCACTATAAATTTTGAGATTGATCATCCATCAAATGATAAGTGTCACATTCTAGCAATTTTCGTGAATTTTCATTTATTAGCCATGTCAATTTGCGGCCCATATCCAAGACTCCTGGTTAGTTTAACCACTTTGATGAGAGTATTTTTTGTGGGTAAAAGGGTTAATGTTGTTTTGACTTGAAGGACAAGTAATAGGAACATCCTTATAGATCATAGAGTAAAGAGCATATCACTTCATCAAAACAATAAATATCCAATATCCAAATAATGACACTATAATAAGATATTACAACAATTTGTTGGTTCTAAATAAAAAAATAATAAAGTAAGTCGACTTTCCAAGTTAAATTCATTCAGTAATAAATCTGATTGATCTCATCTCAATATCACATAAATAATGCAAACACTTATCTCATTCAAATATATGGTTGAAATGAATTAGGTCACTATTTTTAAAACGATTTGCATCAATAGACGAAATTAGCTGGTGCATCAGTCTCAATACGTTGCCTCTACAATACAACATATCTGTATTCTACCCCAAGATGAGATCAAAATCCAAAAAAATAACTCCGAGATGACTAGATAAAAAAACTTTTAGCTTAGAGAGTATTAGCACTCTGTGTTTTTACGTGTCTATAGCTTCCAAAATTACCAAGTCTTGATTTCAGAAGAATCCTCACTAGTAACATATCATATGTAAGACTAAGGAGAAGGGAGTTCGCGTCATTTACTTACTATGAGAATCGGCCTGTTTTCGTATGAATGAACTTGCTGAAGCTGGAGAAATTCCCATACAAATATATATGAATACGATATTAGTTTTGGTTGAACTGCACGAGCAAGATAAGTCTAAAAGCTCGTAGGGTCAGTCTAATTCATACGTTTATAATATTGGCTGATCTTCATGAAGATGGGACTTTTCCATCTTTTTTATTTTAGATGAATTAGATGTTATGGATTATGCACACAAGATATTTTATTAGAAACGACTTAATTAACACTATCATTCAAACTCAACCTAAATCTTGCCGGTACATGCGCCCAAGAATTATACTCTTGCTTCAAGAATTATCCAATCCCAGCTCAAATTAATTAATCAGGTGTTTAGTTCGTATTCCAAAATCTGAATTTGGATTGGATACACAACAAACCCTATTATAATTATGGGATTTGATCGTTCCTTTCTACATCAAAATAAAATTAGCTTTTAGAACATATATTTACAGAGCATAAATTTGTGCAGCATGCATCTTTGTTATATCTCTACCTTGTATATAAAAAGAAACCCAAATTACTGTAACAGCCCATCTTTTTTGCACATGTATTGCATATATATTTTACAAGTGGAATCTTGGTCATTTTAGCTAAATTTTTCCTTCTCTTTTTGATTTAATTGGGCTAAAATGATTAAAATATTTTTTCTTTTATAGAAAATCAAATCCATTTCTTCTTTTTTTTTTTTTATGGCAACTGGTGTCATCCCTCACCTTTTTTATTTTTTTTATTTTTTAAAATTAATCTAACTAAGATTGGTGCCATGTCCTTCTTCTTTTTTTTTTTCATCGAAATGATTAGCTAGTTAGTAAAGAGAAGTCATTATTTTTTTTTTATCCCATTTTACTTTTTTTCCTTCCTTTTTTTCCTTGACCTCTAATATCTCATGTTTGCTCTATTCTTTGATCATAATGTTATAGTCAACTGGCATTTGTTTGTTAAATTTATAGGATGACATTATTATTTGGTATTTCTTCATGGATAAAAGGTGAAATATTAAAATATGTAAAAAGATCTTACAATTCATTTTATAAGTGATCATCTTCTATGAAGAATAAAACAATAATTCATTCTTTTCTTTTCTCCTCCCACGATTTGATTTCTTACTTCACATTTTTTTCCTTTTCTTTGTTTTTTGGTTACATTTTGTAGTTATCTACAATTTTGTGTATTTCTTTTAGGAGAAAAGATATATCATGTGATGCTTCCATCAAGATAAATCTAGCTAAACATTTTTCTACCTGTGTTTTTCTCCTATATTTCTATTCATTCATCATATGCCAAAATAATTTGATGTTATGCGTTCGACTAATTTCTAGGGGCCAAAGCACAGCTAAAGTACCTCTAGTTTTTATCTATAACTCTATGCTTTTCTTTTTGCAATTTCGACAATTGACCTTTTGTTGGATCGGCATAAAATCACATAGACAGCTTAACTTAATTGGAAGAATAGTCTGCAAATCATTTGCTGTCAATACAATCCCCCCTTATTCTCTGCAACGATAATGAAGTTATACAAGTCCAGATCAACAAAAGAGACTCTTGTACTGTCCTTCTCACAATGTCAAGTCGGCACATGCTCTACTAGTTCGTGATTGCACATGTTACCTGTTCCCACTCCCAAAACCAATTACAACTGTCAAGTGACACATCTTGTCTTGTCTTCACTGCCAAAATTAACCACACCAACTGTACACCTTCATTTACACTGTTTTTTGTACACCGCCCCTTTAGTCTCGCCAACATTACTAGCTCTCTCGCCATTCGCGTCCCTTTCCAGATTGGGTCCGCACATGAACATATGCTAACCTGTGAAATTTAGTGACTCTCCGGATTGGCAGACGCAGAAGCACAAGCAGAATCCTGCTTGATTTGGATACGAATTAGTATCCGGTGGAAACTGCAGCCAGCAATGGTAACATGAAAAGTAGAAGTAAAATCATGAAGCCCACCCACAAGTGGCATGGCGCTTAGACATAAAAGGGTGTATTGTTAACTCTATTAGGGCAGGGCCCTCCCAAGTTCTTGCTCATAAACAGAAAACAAGTGACCCATCCGCCCAGGTATTGTTACCATCATGTCCCACAAAGGAGGGGGAAAAAAACAAAAGACACACTAAACAGAGCTAATTTCCTTGATAATTAAGATAAAAAACAAAATGGGAAATTCGTGGCCAATTGTAATGTTCAAGCACCCGACTGTACATGCCTATTGATCCAGTTCACAAAATTGTTCACAAAAGGGGAAAAAAAATGCACAACCAATGTGAAGAGCTTAGCACAAATGAGTTGATTTGCCAACCTAGCTAGCACTGAGAGAGAAGAAATTACTAATCTAAACTAACTAGTAACTGCATTGAGAGAAAAATTAGAATCAAACAGCTAGTTGCTGTTGCTGCTGTTGTTGATGGGATGATTCATCATCATTGAAGCATAAGTGGAGCTTTGATGATTTTCCCATGCACAAGGAGGACTCTGCTGAGTTGATT